CTTTGCATTTGACATTTGGGAAGATTTTCAGGACGAAAAGTTATTTTCAGTTACAAGTTGCCGAGCACACCTACCTCGTAAACGAGGATTTTATCAATGTAATGTCCGTCTATAAACTTGCGAAAATATGTATTTCAATTTGCAGGGCAATCAACCGATTTCAAGCCCACGTCGGTTCAATTTTCGTCCACATCGGTGACGGTAACCGTGACGTGGAGTGACCCCAGTGAAGGACCAGCGTATTTGTATGAGGTGTGGATAAGCGGAGGAGGCTTTGAACGGACGGAAATATTATATTCAAACGTTCACGAACACACGTTTTCAGAAGGAATCTTGCCATTTACAGACTATGTCGTGAATGTGTCCGCAATAAGTTTGCTGGGCAATATCGGAATCGAGCACGGAAGTGTCAAAACCTGGCCAGGATGTAAGCAACATCAGAGACATTAAAACAGCCTAATTTTGCTTGCGTTTCAATTTAAAGGATCGTTTTTGAACTGCTATACATGTAGTTTTGAGGCTTGTTTATGATTGCCGGCCTCTGAAATTCGTCTTCATAATCAACAGCTTGTGTAAACTCGATAAATAAAATAACTAACGTTTACTTATCGGATTAAATTGAGGTCTGTGTATTGCGCCTCTGTTGACGTAGGAGGCATTGTTGTTAATTAATTTATTAATTTAAAATGTTTGTCATTCTTTTTGGTTGTGTTTTGCACACCTTTTATCTGAAATTTCTGGGCGTCGGCTCACAATTTTCCCATTTTTTGGCTAAAGTAATATTCTCTTGGAAGCACGTAATAAATCTATGCAATAACTTTTTAAGTTTGAAAAGCAGCGTTTATTGGTCCATGAGGACGCACATTTGGGACTTTCCTTTTATCTAAATAAGATTTAGTTGCGCTTAACCCAAAAACGGGTAATTTGCATCAAGCATCCAGTAACATATAAATATGTGGACTTTTTGGTCCTTGTTTGCCTTAAGAATTTGCGCTTTTCGGCGTAATGTACTGTGTTTGGTTGACTGCATAGGAAAAGCAGTTTCTAGGCTTTCCGAAGTGATTTCAGATAATTCGTTTATTGCTGTCCTTTATACCTAACATTTTTGTTTATAATTTTAAGAACTGAGTATTCAGCTGTCAAAACAAAGATCCGCTATGTGCTACTTACAGGGCATCCCAACGTGACCGCTAAGGAAACTGTATACAGAATGATCAGTTTTGAAACATAGGTTTTAATATTTTACACACCCTGTTATTAACATTATTGAGTCTTTGACACCTTTAAAATAATGTGGACTATTTCTGAGCCACAGATATCTGCATCTTGA